GGTAGGAGACCTGAAATTCTGCTTGTTATGCAGACTCTCTACCAACCCTCTGATCTTTCAGCTATACCCTTCACCCCCACATCTGGTACATCCAATTCCTAAGCGTTCCTGAGTTTCTCTTGTGTGAATCAGCTTGTTTTTCTTTCTCATTCCTCTCTGCAAACTCTTAGGTTTCAGTTTTTTCCACTCTGCTAAGTCAGTAGCCACTAATCTCTCTCTGCTTAGCCTTCTGAAAGTTTGTTGACATATTTTGTCCACTGTGATCTTTTGTTGGGAAAATTTCCTGAGGTGTACTGGAACCAACCTCCAAAGGAGGATGGGCAAAAAGACCGAAGAAAGAGGCTGACAACTCCAGAATTAGACAAAGAGTTTATTAAGACAACTTATGGACAGAAGCAGAGTCCTAGGCAGCAAGACTAGGGGATGAGGCTTGATATACATTACATAGCCTCCAGGAACACAGGCAGCTTGTAGCCGAGTGGCACATGCTTGTTAAGAGCTATGTATTCCAAAGCAATAAACAATGTAATGGGCCTACTTCTCTATGTAAAGACATTCCTTTCAGGCGATGCTGTCCCACCCTGCCCAGAGTGAACAGGCAGTCACTGAGAGCAACTTGCTTCTTAAGATGGTGTTAGTCATATCCAACACCAGAAACCATTTTGCCTAACATCTCTTCTTCCTTATTTTTGTAGAGTTTTAATCTAAAAAAACCAAAAACAATTGTTGCTGTCATTTTGGGTAGGGTTTGGGGGAAGGAGTACAGATAACGCTTCTCTTCAATCACTACAGTTAATGGGAAGCCCAGGTCTCCCTTCAAGCTTTCCTTGATGGACCCCTTCTTGCCATGCCTGCCTCAGCTTAGCCTCCCCATGTTTGGGGAGCACATGGTTCCTGATGCTCCTCACACCAGGTGCTCTCTTCCCTCATTTATGCTGTTATGTCTAGAACTCTAACTTCTCTGCCAACCCACTCCCTATGGCTTCTTTGATATATACAATTACAGCATTTTGTTAAGATCTCTATTTTACAACTTATCCCAGATTTCTTTGTGTCTCAATTAGTTGGGTAGCAATTTGTCTCTTGCACCTTTAGTGTTGGAACTTGACCTTGTTCAATATTTATCTCCCTGAGACTAAGCTTTGGGAGTGGATATTTTCTGTTTGTTCTATTCTACTGGATTAAATTATCTCTTTTCCTTTGTTATGTTTCTGGGATATATTTTTCTCAAATGGAATTACTGTGTGTGGTAGACTGACTTGTTGGTCCCCATTTTTCACTCCAGTGTGATAGAGTTATACACCCACACCTTTGCCATAGCCTGGGGGAGGGCCATACCTATTCCCTGACTTTGGCTGTGGCTGTCTGATTTGCTTTAACCAATGAGACGTTAGTGGACATGATGCAGACAAATGCTTGGAATGAGCTTGCGTGGCTGGACATGCTCTTGACCTTCTGTCACTGGTAGTTCTAGGAGGATGAGAGACATGTGGAGCTGACCTCTCCAACTGATCAGAAGAACTGCAGCGATCCAGCTGATTTGCAGACCTGGGAATGTAGTGATAAATACTTCTTGCATGCCACTTAGTTTTGGGGTCAGTTTGTTCTGTAGTGATACCTAACTAATACATGATGTCATAGGGGATGAATGACTTTATAACCCTTGTTCTACATTGGTTTGCTCTCTAGAAAACCTGAAACCAATTTACTATGCCATCAACATGTTATATATGTACCTACACATATACTCATATGTCTCTCCTTGATTTTATCATAAAAATCTATTTTTAAATGGCTTAAGAAAATAGAACAATAACCACATCACCAGCACAACTTGGGACCTTACAAAGCTTCATTCCAGACTGAATCAATTATCATGTCTTTTTAGAGTAACACTAAACTCTAATAAACCCAACAAAAGTCTGTAATGTTCTTGATCTTTGATAACCATGACTTTAATTTATAGTATAATTATGTACAATCCATATACTTGTTAATTATATGGTGTTATTTATCCTTATTTTTATGAAAATAGCCTTTTGATAATGATTTTTAAAATTGGAACTATGACAAAATATATTTAGGAACGTTCTCATCAAATGCTATTAATTTCTTTCAACACCCACAATTTACTTTTAAATTTGTCAAAGCTTCCTTTATTATTTCCACAATACACATTAAAAAAAACATAGTGGCCAAAAACTTCTTTTACATTCTTTGAGAGTTGGCCAATTTATTAAATCTTAGGCTGTAAGGATTTTATTCTTTAGTGAAAAGAATATATTATGCCAATGTCCTGACTATTTGTTTCTACCAGTCCAGAAAGCATGCCAGAATCCAGGAAAGCAAGGGTAATATTATAATAACTGTGCATCTGTTTCCTAAGTTTTTGTACAAAGAGTAGGTTCTTCACAAATATGAACTAGTATTAGTAAGAACTTACTACTTGTAACACACCTCACAATTTACTGAGACGTGGCATTTTATATTGCAACCATGCTTAAGAACCCCTACCATGAGGAGGGTTCGTAAACACCAAGTTATACTGCATTTATGAAAAAGAACTGCGTAAGTAATCAGAAACAAAATGATATTGTTAAAAAGTTCTATAACTGACAGCTTGATTGAAAAGGAAAGAGACAAAGCGAGGAGTCTTTGGGCTCTTTTAGCTAGTTCAAGTTTAACAAACTCCCCTGGGCTTCCTTCACAATTCCGGTGTAACCAGTCAAAACAGTCATGCCTCTCTTGTCCTCCTGACCCTCCAATCAATCACACAACAGACTAACAATCACAGAACAAAAACTTCATTGCCCAATTTAACCTTCCAACCTCCAGAGCTGCATGGTCTGCTAATCTAGCTCACAAAAGCAGGACTGCTGTTCTTTTATTCTCCCCGAGCATGGGCTCCGTGTTGAGCCCAACAGCTGATCAGCTCTGGAACGTCCCAGCAGCTAGCGTGCCAGGGGCCTCGGATGTTTATTTAGCGGGCTCTGGCTCCGCAAGGGGCCCCTTTGGAGCTGGCTTTGCGCGCGCCTGCCCTCAGAGGAGCCATGTACCAGCACGGCTACGTCTTCCAGACCCGCAAGGAGCAGTACGAGCGCGCAGAAGAGGCGCCGGACCGCTCGGCCAAGGGCCGGGCAGCAGCGTCCAGCCTCGCGGCGCTGCAGGGGCTCGGCGAGCGCTTGGCCGCCCACGTCCAGCGTGCCCGCGCGCTCGAGCAGAGCCACGCCGTCCTTCGGCGGCAGCTGGAAGCCTTCCAGCGCCTGGGCGAGCTGGCGGGGCCGGAGGACGCCCTCGCCCGCCACATAGAGGGTAACAGCCAGCGCGCCAGGGACCTGGCGGCCGAGCGCGCCCGGCTGGAGCGCCAGGGCGCAGAGGCACAGCACGCGCTGGACCAGCTCAGGAGCAAGTAAGCATCGGCTGTGGGGGGAAATTGAGGTAGGGAGGGGTCGGCCTCCTTGGCGCGAATCCGAGAGCAGGCAGCTGCCTAGCCTTGAAGGGCCACCTCTGGTCCTCCAGCGACCAATGACTTCATCTTTGTAAAAGGCACACATTTGGTGTATTTACCGAAGGTAAGACTAGCTTACATTCTGATGGCACTTTACAGTTTACATGAAATGGTATCATTTACTTTTAATGTATTTTAAAATTTGGGTATAGTTTACATACAATAATGTGCACAGATTTTAAGTACACAGTTCAATGAGTTTTGACAAATGTATATATACCCACGTAACTACCAAAACAAACAAGATATTTTCTCTATCCTAGAAAGTTCCCTCCAGCCCTTTCCTGTCAATCTTGGTTACCAATCCCCGCAAACAAACAAAAAAAACCCCAAACAAAACCCAGCAGCACCCAGTATTCTTATTCTATCATCATAGATTAATTTTGCTCATTCTAGAATTTAACAAAAATGGAATATTACTCTTACATGTCTTACGTGTCTGGCTTCTTTTGCTCAGCACAATATTTTTGAGATGTATTAATGTTATTTAATCCTAGAGTCTCATCCTGTTATAGATGGTACTGCCTGCACCTATTTAACAGATGAGGAAACTGAGGCTCTGAAAATGTAGGGATTTGAGGCAAGGTCATTCAGCTAATGAATTGCTATACTGGGACTGGATTGAAGTGCTAGACATGCTAAGTTTAATCGTCTTCACTGCACCAGCCAAAACGTGGAAATTGTTTCAATGTGTGTCTTCTAGGGTCTTGCTATTCAAACTGCGGTCCATGTACTGGCAGCATTAGCATCACCCAGGAACTTGTTAGAAATGGAGACTCTTGGGCTTGCCCCAGAGTTCCTGAATCAGAAACTGCATTTTAACAAGACCCCTGAGGTGATTTGTAGTTTAAGAAGTTAAACACTGAAGTTTCAGAAGCCCTGGTCCAGGTCATGTTCCCCTCTTTCAACAGACTGAACAATGTGTTAACGTCAGCTATTAAAAAGAAAAGAATGGGTAGTAATTTGTTAACATCTTTCTAAGTTATAAATGTGTGTGCTCTTTGACTCAACAGGGCCATTTCAAGGAATTTATGATATTCCAGCAGGTGTCAACTGGCATGCCTACTAGGATATGCACTGCCATGTGATCTGCAATAGCAAAAGTCTGGAACCCACCTAAATGTCTGTTAATAGAAGACAGGTTATAAAACTGTGCTTCATTCATACAGTGGGGCAATTGTAAAAAAAAAAAAAAGAATAGTGTGTTATTATTTATTTAAAAAAGAAAGGGAGAAGAGTAGAAATTTTTTGCTTGCATGAGGAAAAAGAGGACATAGCACATACACACAAAACTAACACACACACGGGGGACAAAGGAGTAGGAACTGGGCCATGGGAGAGAGGTGGGAGGGAGATTTTTAACTGAACATCCTTTTATGTAATTAAAAATAATTGTCTAACTCTGTAAGAGATTTATCTATTTAAAAATTATATAAATCAATTAAAAAATACAGATGTCCAGGCTCTACTGTGGACCTCAACCAGGGCCCAAGAGTTTCAGTTTTTATGAGCCCCTCTGGTAAGTCCAGTGAACAGCCAGATCTAGGGTTTGGGAGTCCCTGGTCTAGGGTAGCCAGAAGGTTTTCTTCAAACGTGTTCTCTGAGTTTCACCTTCTTAGTCCAAATCTTGGGCAGGTTATTTAATGTTGGGTACTGAGCTTACATGTATTTATCAGATCATAATCATTGATTTTATTCCTATCAGCCCTTCTGTTTCTGGTTTTGATCCATAGAAACAAATTTGGAGCTGGAAGAAGGTACCTGAAAATCCACCTGTTACAGCCCTTTGTTGAGGCTTGGAAAGGGCCTTTGGCAGGACTTGAACTTGGGTGCTCTTGCGTTGGGCCCATACTCTTTCTAGGACACTGTGTCTTGGAGAGAAGCCATTCTTGGACTCTTGCAGAGTAAGGCCCAGTGATAAGACCTAGGACCTCATTCAAATGCAGCTAATGTTCTCTAAAGCAAAGGGAAGTGTATGCTTGTTCAGATACCCAGCTCCATGGGCCAGCAGGATCCCCTAGATCTCCAAATGGCCTTTACATGGTCTTTAGGTCATAATCTACTGTGATTTGGCTGGGCAAGCGTGACTCCCTTGAGCCCTCATTGAAGGAATGGCTATATTGAGTTTTCCTGATTTCACTTGGTTCTGAGTTATTAATATATGTACATCATGGAGCAATCCCTTCAGGCTCTGTGCTTTGTTTAATAATTCCCATTCACTTATTCCCTCCCATTACCCCCTTGGAGAAGTTTGATATTCTGACTGGGGTAGTGGGATTTGAAAATTATTATGAAAACCATATCCATGCACATGCATAGGTATATACACACCAAGTTTGGTTTCACATTCCAGAGGGAAGTTGATGGCTAGCCAAAGCAGGTGAAGATTATGCAGATATGGGAAGGAATATGCAGCTTTGTTAGGCATATTTTCTACTTGGATAGTTGAATAATTTCAAAATCAGATCTGCAGCATGTCACAGACAATAAAACTAAATAAAAAATTAAAATACCCATCAAAATACAATGGTGAATATAGTCAATTATCCAAATTCCTAAAAACCAAAAATGTAGAAAAATCAGATAATTGAAGCCAAAGTTGTTTTCACTTTATGAATTCACTTACATATTCACTTATATGAATATATATGAATGTTTCATGAATTCTTATGAATATTTTATAATGAAGTCACTTGTCTTTAATAGCTAGATTTTACTATAGCATTAAAATTACATTAATATGTTGTTTATCAAACTTGTTTTTAAGCTACAGAAATTCTTAGATGTTTCTAGCAGGAAAAAGCAATGAGAAAATTCAATTTTGTTAACAGTTTTATTCTCAAAGCTAATTAACCATTAAAAAAAATTCTGGCTCCATTAGAGCTACACACAAAGAAACTTCTAAATGTGACATCCTGGTGTGAAATATAAAACTTATGCAACTATGTTTTTATCTGACTTCACACCTCGCTTAGTTTGGAATCCTCCTGAAGTGAAGCCTGAAACAGGGATTTGAGGGCAAGTAGCTTATTTGGGAAGTGACCTCAGGGAGCACATACTGGGGAGTGAGGAAGTGACGCAGGAAGCGAAGACAGCTAACAGTGCATTATCCAGAAAGTTACCACTGTGGCGACTGGGACTGACCTGTGGAGTAGAGAACACACCTCACTTGTTCCAGCTGAGGACAAGAAAGCTGGGGTAGGGCCGGCCGAGTGGCGCACTGGTTAAGAGCTGGCTTGAGACGCCAGAGGGCCCCGGTTCGGATCCCACATATGAGGGCCAGTGACACTGCCCTCTACAGCTAAGATGCTGAACAACAGCTCAACCTGGAGCTGGGCTGTGGTGAGGCGATGGCGACGGCGTAGGGTGCAACCCCTGCTGCAGTGGGTTGCCATGGGCTACCATGTGTAGCTAGCAGCCGCTGTGAGCGGCCATCCAGAAGCCGGCGACTGATCTGCCTTGCCTGGGAAGAGCGCAATGATGGTGCCAACTTGGGCCAGTGAAGCAACGTCCTCCACAACTAGACTGAAGAACAAAACGAGAGCAACTTGTCTGTTCCCCTTCCCCCAATTCCCCAGCGCTGTTCCCATCCCCCAATTCCCCAATAAAAATCTTTAAAAAAAAAGAAAGCTGGGATATTTATGCACCCAGTCACCTTCCTGCCAGGGGCACTGACTCTCTGGCCCATCCAGCGTGCCCTGCCCACTGGCCCAGATCAGGCCTTTGGTGTGTAGGGGTGATGCTGCAAGGATGAGGGTGATGTGCTGGGAGCATCTGCCTGAGCCTTTGGGCCAGTCTCTCAGCCTCACTTTTCTAATCTTTGACATGGGGGTAAGAGGGAGGAAGAAATTTTCCTCTATCCTACTAGGTTCATTTGGATGATCTAATAATTCAATCTACACTAAACAGATTAACTAGTGAAAATAGCTGAATTTAATTACATATATGCAGATGGGAACCTCACATACCTGAGAGATTCAAAGACAGGGAGAATGAGGTATATATGACATTCTGAGGTAAGGATGAGGTAAGGCACTGTGGGGCTTTTGAGGGTCATTGCAGGATGATAAGAAGAGCAGATACTCAGTAATTAGAAGTTTGCCCTGCCCTATAGATAGGTCATAAAAAGTTATTTCTGGTGATAGCTCTTATTATGGGAAAGGCCCCTAATTTAAATTCTTTAAGAAGAGGTAAAAGTTTCTTATGAGCTCGCAGGGTCTCACTTGCCTTTAGCTTAGGACAACCCAAATGCCAGATTGGCACATTTTGGGGAGTCCTGTTCTGAACCTCTTCAGTGGTAACAATAGCTGCTTTTCCCCCAGGGTTTTGTGGGGATTAAATGACATAATCTAGAAACATGGCCACATGTCAATAAATACAAAGTATAGGAAGTCCAAACAAAGTCAGGTTAGTGGTGTTTCTTGTGGATCATGCAGGATTAGCCTCCCAGTGTCTGTGCTGCTGCTGTACTTCGGTTACAGGTGTGCCAAGATATGATTCCCTCACCCTCGGGGTGGCTGGGAGGGAGGTGTTGAGGCGTTGGGGCTGGGCCTCCAGGTTGGGAGACCCCTGTTCCATTTACCGCTCCCAATTACCCCATATATGGTGGCCATGTCAGCACTTTCTGCATGTGCCATGATGTGAAAGAGGCTGGGAGGCAATGGACTTGGAAAGGCAGCATTAGTGCCTGCTTTAAAATTAGGATTCCCTCCTTGAAGAGAGGGCATAGAACTCATCTTGGATTAAATGTAATGCAGATTGTGTGATCAACTTGTGTGGAATCATGGAAGCCACTCAACTTTGGCTTATATGTCTAATTTGCAGGTATGAAGATGAATGTGAATGTCAACTGCTGCTAAAAGAAATGCTTGAGCGGCTTAATAAGGTGAGCTGAGCACATCTTTGAGTTTGAGTAGATTAATGACAGGATTGAACTAAATGGCTGTGATGAGTGTTTCCTGCACCTCTTCTTTGTGTGATTTTCAGGATTCACCTATTTCTTTTATGGTCACTCTCTTTCTTGACTTTGTAATTTCAAGTACATCTCTGCGTGAATCCACACAGCCAGACATATCTCTAATGCTAGATACAGGGTGTTGGGAGAAAACCTAGACTATTAAGTCTATTGCTTGTGCTGGGCTATCAAAACATGCCAGCACTACAGTGACTAGCTTTGCTTTGCCATTCAGACCTCCTGGTCTCAGACACCAAACGTAGGAAGGCACTTGCTTTGAGCAGTGCTTATTTGGATGCAATGAGACCTCTGTCCTTTTGCCTAACAGTCTTAAGATTATTCCTCCATAGGGAAACTCAAGAGAGCAGAGGAAGAAACTTTCATTTCCCCTCAAGCTCCTCATGCTCAAAGTAGCCATGTAGGGGGCACCAGGGGTTCTTAGCTTCTTGCTGGAGGCTCTCCTGTAGAGATTGTGTGGAGTTGTTCTTTTCAGGGGCACCTCTTTCTTCAGATCCTCTATCACCATTCTGATGGATTGGATTTTCTGCTTTAGCCTGGAGAACCTGACAACCAAGTAACAGAATAATCCTGGACCACAGAGGTTGTTGGACAAACCAGAGATAGCAAATAGCTGTAAGCATTATCCTTTCCTGATCAGTTCAGAGCTCAGGGACCCATGGAGACTGTTTAGTTGAAGTTTAGTTGAAGGGTTGTTTATTCAGGGCACATGGCTACCTTCTTCCTCTCCCTTCCTGCCCTGCCCATAACCTCATCAGAATTGCTGCTAAAGCACGGCACCCTTCCCTGCTGGGCCCAGATGTGTTCCTTCTCCAAATGGAACTCCAGTCAACTACTTCAGACAGTCAGGGTTAGCTCAGGATACTTGCTTTCTGTGGCTTTGTCCAACCTCAGTTGTCTATGATTACTCTGGCGGTTGGTGTGAAAGTCAGAACTACAACCTGGGGAAACTGAATTTTGCTTTGTCTGTGTTACCCTGTACCTGATACTTTTGTGCCCTTCTCTGTGTGAGCAGATAATGAATTGTCCAAATCAGGACGCTGTGTGAAAGGAGGTGCTGTCAATAATTACACAGGTTGTTTGATAGATACTGGGACTGTCTCAGGCCAACTGGAACATATGAGCACCCCCAGATATAAACACAAAGATGGTGACAAGAGTGTGCTTCAGGAGCCTTAAGCACATGGGCTCAATAATTGGCCTTGTATTGATGGTTGCTATGGCCCAAGCCTTTTGGAAGTCTGAGCTGGGATTTGGGCCTTATTAGCATCTGACATCACCCAGCTGTTCTGCTGACACTTGTAGTTCATCCCATTCTTCTTGTGATGGCGATCCCAGGCTGCCAGATGGGGCCACCGTCTTGCCCACAGACCACCACCTTCAGGAACATAGGTACCTGACACCCTTCCCTTAGTTGCCAGTCCAGCCTCCCCCAACATTACCATGTTTTGGTTTGTGAGTATTTGTCCTCACTGCAAGCGGAGCTCTCTCTGGACTAACCTCTCAGGTTGTCACTCACCCAGTGCCATCGTGTGCCCTCCTCAAAGAAGAGGGAGAAAGAATGTAGTCTCTCTTTTTACCTTGGGTGGAAAGTGACACTGGATTTAAAAACAAGCTCAAAACGTACGTTGTTTTTCTCTTATTACAAAACAACACATATTCTCAGTAGAAAAGCAACACATGTTCTCAGTAGAAAAATAAGAGGTAATGAAAAATAAAAGAGAGGCATTCCATCATTTCACCCTTCTGAGAACATGGCTGTAACACTGTCATGTACATTGTGACAGTGTGTGGTCGATTGAAGTATCAGCCCTATGAGAATGTTCTGAAGGTTCTAGGGAAAGGTGCTACCAAGAACATGGGCCAGGGCCAGCACAGGGCATCAGTGTTCCCTGGGTCCAGGGAAAGACACTTATGCCCGCAAGTGAGCTGTGCCATCCCAAAAGGCGTGTAACCTATTCATAGGACCCTTCACACTACTGCTGAATTTCTATGAGACTTTAGCTAACTTGCCTCATCTCTCTGAGCCTCAGCTTCTTAATCTGTGAAATGGGAACAGTAATTGTTCCCAACACCATAGCAGGGAATGTCTATGTGCCTAGTGACAATTAAATGACATAATAATGTTTGTGACTTGCCTGTCACAGTTATTATTAAGCACTTCATGTGACGGATGGCAGCTTAGTTTTGTCCATAGTGTAGGGTGCCTAACCCTGTTGGAGTGGGAGATAATCTTAGATGGTACATGGAAGAACAATTGTTTAATAGTTGTAATTTATTTTTATGATTACCTTTTCTCTATAGCAGGTAACATTTAAAAGTTCCTTTTTAAATACATGTGAGTAAAAATGAATCAATCTGAAGAAAAATATGGGTGACTAACAGTACAAGCAGTACTCGGAGGTAGCAGAAATAATGAACACACCATGTAAATGCAGTGAAATGGAGAGGTCCTTGCACTAACTTGTGGGAACCTCAAAACAGCCTTGGGTTATTGGTTTTACCCCCAGAAATGACCCAGTCCACCCTCTCTCTTTGCCAGGGAGGAGACTCGCTCTTGGTGAGGTTAAATGACGTCAGAGCCCTACCATCCATCTGTGTGGCAGGTCTAGGTGGAGTAGTGTCTTCTGTGTCCATGGCTCATTTTCCACCTCCAAAAGATAGTCGAGAATCTCTGTCTCCCAGGAGACAGACACAAAACCAGAGTATCTGGATAAGGATGGCCACTTAACACTTGATGTTGGTGTTGCGTCCATCTTCCCTGGGCCACCCCCAAGGTCGTGTAGACATGCTGAGTACACTGGCTTCCTGTGTCTCTCTGGCTGTGGAAACATGTATGAGCCACAGGAGGCATCGTCCAGAAGTGTGGGCATGAGCACCCTAGGAGTGATCCTTGGCCACTGAGGGACAGGAGAAGGTGGATGAGTCCCTCGTTGGCCCACTCCTTGTAGTAACAGTTCAGAGGTTCGTTCCTCAGCCTCTCAGAGGGTCTGTAACAGGACTGAGCCCAGTTTGTGCAGAGTCATAACCTGCTCATTACACACCTTTATTGGCTTTGTTTCTTTCCCTGTATCACTCCCACCTCCCCTACCAGTGCTCCTGGAATTACCTCTCAGATAAATGACATGTACCCAATCCTTGCCTTGAGGTCTGCTTCTGAGGAATCCAAACTAAGACAATCTCTCAAGGGGTCAGCCATGTGAAGGCTGGCCCTTCAGATTCTCTGTCCATTGAGATAGTCAGATGAGGAGAAGGGGGTGAAAATGAAAGAGTAAATTTACATCTTGTTGGCTGGTCATATCAATGATTTTGGTCAGTAAATCTTTTAATGCCCCCACATATCAAGGAGGTTTTGACTGTCAACTCAGTCTCAGTGCCCATTTTCTCTGGTCTCCCATCCCTGGGTGTGGCCATAGGAAATGGGGGACAGCAGGAATCATTAACCACGTCTTTGATTCTTGCTTGGAAAATACCACAATGCATGTGACAGAACTGATTGTTGCTGCCTTCACAAAACTGCGATCTATTAATGTTGCCCATGTAATTAAACCTCAATTTAAATAAAGAGCTCCTGTATTTTTAACAGCCAGCTAAACTAAAGCAAGCCACTCTTTGCCATGCATTTGAAATGAAATAAATTCCTCAACATACTACTTACATACTACGGTCAAAGTTACTCAGATTTTTAAGACCTTTTTTTGTTTTTTAAATAAGAAAGTTTTTTTGTTTGTTTTCGTTTTTTCAAAGATTTTATTGGGGAATTAGGGAAGGCAAACAGTGCTGGGGAGTTGGGGAAGGGGACCAGCCAAGTTGTCCTTCAATCTTAGTTATGGAAAGCGCAGCTAGCTCAGCTCCAAGTCCAGTCGCCATCTGGCTGCCTGTCGGCAGCTTGTGGCCTCTCAGCTCAAGGTGCCGTGTTCAATCTTAGTTGTGGGTGGGTGCAGCCCACTATCCCATGCAGGAGTTGAACTGGCAACCTTGTTGTTAGGAGCCCATGCTCTCACTAGCTGAGCCATCCTGTCACCTGTTGGCAGCTCAGCAGGATCTCAGCTCAGACGCAGCTCGCTGGCCTATGTGGGAATTGAACCGGCGACCTTGTTGCTCAGAACTCATGCTCTTAATCAACTGAGCCACTTCGCTGGCCCCAGATTTTTAAGACTTTTGATGTAGTAAGAATTCCTGATGACTGTTAGTATTTGGGTTTGGCTAACGTATATGATATATACGAGGTATGATCAAACAATACGGTGAACGTTTAAAAAAAATTTATTACAGCAAAAGACACATTGCCATTAATCCCCTCAAAATACTCCCTTTCACTTTGAACACACTTATCCCATCGTTCTTGCCACTTTCTGAAGCAGTTCTGGAAGTCCTTTTATGTCATGAGTGTCTTTAGTAGCACTGTCATGGCTGCCTCACTGTCCTGAATCAATTCAAAATGTTTACCTTTCAAGGCCATTTTGACCTGGGGAAGAGCCAGAAGTCACATGGTGCCAGATCTGGTGAATAAGGTGGATGAGGACACACTGTAACCTTTTTATTTGACAGAAATTGCCGTATACTAGAAGCAATGTGTAACACAGAACATTGTCATGATGGAGGAGGATTTATAGCATACTTTAAAATACACCTTCTCTCAAACAGCTGACTGACTGCACTGAACAGGTTGAAACTTGTCACTCACTGTTACTAAGGTTTGATGCACCGCTTACTGTATTGAAGATCCCTGTCTTTCTGTTCAATGGCACTCGACAGCAGCATTTACCATATTTTGTGATCACAGTGGAAATGCTTTGTGTCACACATTGCTTCTGGTATATGGCAATTTCATTAATTTTGCAAACTTGTTGCAACAATGTTGCTAACCTTTTTTGACATCAGAGGGATTATTCATTATGAATTTGTACCAA